CGACATGTTGTCCCCCAGCGGAAGGGCTCGGCCGTCATGGCCAGCGCGAGAACTAGCCGCGCGCTCCACGGCCACGACCAGCGCTCGACCTCCGAGATGGAGGACCACTCCCTCGAAGGCCCACCGATATGCCAAGACCGCCCGCCAGCGCGCCGCATGCAGCAGCTCCGCCACCACCTCCTCAAAATCGGCGCCCTGGCTCCAGCGCGCCACTTCCGCGCCCGGGATCGCGGGCGTCGCCTCTCGGGCGCCAACGCCGCCGTCCGCCAGCAGCTCCAGGCTGGCAGCCTCGACAGCGCGCCGCCGCGCGGCGCCCGCGCACAGACGATAGCAAGCGCGCTCGCAGGTGCGACCCACGCGCCCAACGTCCTCTGGCCCCCACAGCGAGCAGGCCAGCCCGAGGCCGTCGAGTGACGCATCCGAGTGGTGGATCCCAGGCAGCCAGCCAGCGCTCCAGTCTGCGCGCAAAAGTATCACCCGCCCAGAGAAGGCCCGCAGCTCCTGCACCACGCTGTCCCACAGCGCAACTCGATCGAAGTTGCGGCGCTGACTGAATCGGTAGACGCAGTGGAGGCAGCCCAGGCTCTCGCGGCGCACCAGGCCCACGAACGCAAGGTGGCCCACGACGATCTCCAGCTCCAGGCCGCTCACCCTGCGGCGTCGCAGCAGCGCCTGCACCGCGCCTCGCACTCGCCAGAACCTGGCGGGAGCAAACCGAGTGCAGCCTGCGCGCCCGTCCAGCTGCACGCCCAAGGCCTCGCCGCCTGCGCTGCTCAAGGAGGTCTCGTGCACCTCGAGGCCGACGGTGCCGAAAGATTCCGCGGCCGCCGTCAGGGCCGCGCGAACCTGGCCCCCCGCCCCGCAGAACACCCCGACATTGTCAACGCAGGTGCAGTGGCCCAAGGCCCGCGGGCCATCCAGGATCAGAAGGGGCCCGCGGTCGGCCGTCTCCAGCGCGCCTTCCAGCTCGCGCAGCTCCGCCACGCGTCGCGCGTTGGCCGACTGGGCGAAATGCAGCGACCGGGCCCACCCCATCGGCAGCGCGCGCGCCAGGGGGTATATCAGCGTGTCCTTGCCGAGCGCCGCGCCGTCCAGCTGCGCCAGGCCCAGCTCGCAGGCCCGCAGCGGGGGGCAGCCGAAAACCTCATGCAGCCCAAGCCCATTGTCGAGCAGGAGCCCGCGGAAGCAGTCCGTCACGTCGCGCGCGCCGAGCCGGGTGTCCAGGCCGCCCAGGGCGTCGCCCAGCTCCTCGCCTAGGTCAGCGCCGCCCGCCGTCAACCTCTCGACGCGGCTGAGACCATCTCCGCTGACAAAGTCGACCCCGGGCGGGCTCCTGAACAGACGATTCGCCTGGCGGCGGTCCAGGATCAGCCGCTGGCGATCGCCCTTCTTCCTGTCGAACAATACCACCACCTGGCAACGGCACGTAGTAGACAGCCGCACCAAGCCCACCTTCAGCAGCCGCCTGACCAGACCGATGTAGATGGGGCGCGCGTGACTCAAAACTGGGCCCACGCAGGTCGAACTGGACCGCATCTTGCGTGACTTTCGTCCACCTCCTCACGTGAACGCACCACGTGGCTCTCGTAATCCTTCAACTGCATCCGCGCCGCCTTCGGCAGCAGGTCCGCGACGCGAGGCGCGCCAGCCATATCGTCGGGGACCGACAGCCGAGCGTGGGAGAAGGGGGCCAGCGTCGCATGGGCCAGCTGGGCGTATCCGCCTCGGCCCCGCAGCAGCCGCGCAAGACATTGCCACGGATCGCCCGCGCGGGCGGTCGCGCCCCAGCTGGCAGCCAGGACCTGCGTCCGCCGCAGCGCGTCGGGCTGGATGTCCGCCACGCGGGACCGCGTGGCGAGGCTAAGCGGCGCCGCAGGAAGCCGCCGTTCAGCGCGACCAGTTCAGGCTAGCCAGACCCTCGTTGGCCAAGTGGCGCACGCGCGCACGGCCACGGCGACCGAGCGGGGCTGCCAAGTCAGCGCCCAGCTCGCGCTGTCCAGGCAGCGGGTAGACCTGCCCGCCTCGCAGAGCCTCTGCCTCCAGGCCCAGGGGGGGCCTCACCCCCGGCCCCGTGCCCATCATTTGGACACGGCGGCAGCCGCTGCGTCGCCAGGCCTCGCCCTGCCTCGCACGCGCCCACGACCACCGCCGCTGCCTCTGCCGCCGCCGTCCTCAGCGCCCGCGCGGGGGGTGGCCCCCAGCACCCAGCGCGCCAGCCACATCGCCACTGCCCCCAGCGCCGCGCCCGCCCACTGCCAGCGCGCGGCCGCGCCCGAGCGCCACCTGGCGGTCCGCTCCGCCGCGGGCCGCGCGGTTCGCGAAACTCCGCAGCTCGGGCGACGCCACGTCGAAGGGGTCGCCGGTGCCAGTGAGGAGACGCCCCGCCCCCGAAGCAGCCGGCTGCCCAGGTTCGACCCGATGCGCCTCGGCGATCTGCGCCTTGCGCCGAGCCGCGACCTCCAGGCACGCCGGCCCACCGAGGTTAAGGGCTTCCGCTGCGACGTCGCCAGGTTCCAAGGGATGGTGCTGGAGGGCCGTGAGCTCGCGCGCGAGGAGCGCCGCAGGCGCCGCTTGCCCGCGGGGCTGGGTGCCCCCCTCGGGGAGGAGCCGAGCAGGATGGTGGACTGGCACGGTGACGAGTGCGGCCTGGACACGGGGGTGCTCGAAGGGGCGCGGCGGCGACTCCGGGGCAAGCGCGATCTCACGAGCGCCCCGCAGGTCCCCGAGACTCCCGGCGACGAGGAGGCGACGCGCCCGGCCTTGGGCCCGCCCCCGCTGGAAGACGCCAAGACGGCGCTGCTGGTGGCGGAGCTGCACGCGGGAGGCGGCCTGCAGCTCGGCGATGAGGTCGCGCCGACCTCTGGCGACGTCGCGGCGGGGTCGAAGGTGGTCGGTAGCCGCCCCGATGGGCGCCCCGTGCTGTGCGAGCGGGTCTCGATCGGCGACGTGTCCACCGGGCGCGCCGAGGCGTTCGCCAACGATGGTAGGGTAGCTGAGCGGGCGGCTCTGGCCGACGCATCGCCGCCCGCCGCCGAGGCCCCCCTCGACCTCCGCGACGTGGCCCGCGCGGAGCCCACCGCCGTAGGAGGCGCTGACACTCTCGTGAGGGCGGCGAGGCCGCCAGTCGCGAGGACGTCCGGGAGCTCTCGGTGGAGTGGCAAGAATCAAGGGGTGGCGCCGAGCTGTAGGAGAGAGCAGTGAGGAGGCTCTGGACGGCTGCGAGCTTCGCGGGGCTGGGACGGCGCTTCACCTTTGCCAGCGTTTCACGCAGCACGGCGGATACCCGAATACGTGCAGCAGCGAGACGTGCCAGCGCCAGTCCGCCTTCCGCTCCACATCGCGGTCACCGTCGGGCGTCTCCACCACCTAGCACTCGTGACGCCCGTCTGGGTGGACGGGCCAGAGCAGGAACCGCTCGTGCGTCCACTCATCGCCGTCGAACTTCACTAGCAGGCGCGATCCTGGGCGGCGCTCCTCGTAGGTCGACATGTCCACGGGCGGCCACCGGCAGAGGGGATGCCGAGGGAGCCGCGCTCCCGCGTCCAGCGGGATCGCCCACAGCACCGGCGCCAGCCAGGGCGGCCACGCCAGGGGGCAGGACAGCGGCGGCGGTCAGACCGGGCAGGCTGGACAGGACAGAGGGCGGCAGTCGGGGGGCGGCGCGCTCGCCCGCCCCGAGAGCCACTCGTGCCGCCTCCGCCACCGCCCCGCGCGCCAGCTCGCGCAACACGCCGGGCCCAGCCTCCGCCAGGGCCGCGCAGAGGCCCGCCACCACCATCTGGCAGCGGGCCCTCAGCGCGCTGGAGCTTGAGACCACAACTGTTGCGGAGACCGCAAGATGAGAAACGACAGGCCGAGGCACAATCGAAGCAATACCGTGGTCCCCACAAACATTGGTGATACTAAGATTGTTTCACGTTAGCCTCCTGGGGGGGACGTGGATTTACCACGGGCACTTATTTGATCGATCTCCTCCGAGATGGTCCCAAGATGACCCCCGAGGCTCCCAAGAGTGCCGCAAGAGATCCCCAAGAGGTGCCCAGGAGGCCCCAAGAGGCCCCTTAGGCCCCCCCCCATCAAGACCCCCCAATAATTTCGAAGAGGCTCCCCTCAGGCACCCAAGACACTTCAAGAGGCCCCCAGGACCACCAAGAGGCCCCCAAGAGGCCCCAAGAGGCCTACAAGAAGCTCTCAAGAGACATCCGAAGAGACTCCGACAAGCATCTAAAAGACCTCTGGCCTTTCTGCTCGCCCTCCTCCTCGTCCTCCTCCTCCTCCTCCTCCGCCTCATCTTCCTCATCCGCCTCATCCTCCTCCTCCTCCTCCCTCCTCCCTCCTCCCCCTCCTCATCCTCTGCGTCTGGTTCCTCCTCCGTCACCTCCCCCCCTTGGTATATGACCGCCTCCAAGCCTTGATTCCACTGCGTGCTACCCCACATGCCTGATCAGGGCAACTCGCCTGGGCATCGTTTCTGGATGGACTGGTGGGGTTTCGCGAAGCGTCTAGAATTAAAATGCAGACCTCAGAAACCAGACAGCCGAGGTCTTGATCTTTTTCGTGGGCGGTCCCCGAAGTCCCGGCCCTGTCCCCTGGGCCGGTTTTTCCTCCTCAGTCGTCTTCTGACGGTCCTGTTGTTCATCCTGGCTCGCTCTCTGACGGCCCTGGCGCCTGGCGAGGGCCCCCCGAGGCCGAAGACTGCGAGGAAATGCGGACTCGATGCTTGTTTACAGGTTTCCCTCAGGACCCGTATGCTTCATGCCGATTGGCAGCGCGCGCAAGGGGGTGGGTAGGGGAGGGGGAAAGGCTTCTTAGAAGAGGGCTGCTTCTGAAAGGGCGCAAGCCCTGCATCTATAGACAAGGCCCGCGGCTTCTGAGAAGCGGAGGTGCTTCTGAGAAGCCCTCCCCACTCCCCCTACCCCCTCCAGCGCGTGGCCGCCGTATGCTTCATGGTGAGACAGCGGCGACGCGGGGCACTCCCCCCCGGACCGCGCGCGGAGCTCCAGCGAGCCCCGGGCGTCCCCTCCTCCTCGCCGACGGCCGCGCAGTATCCGCCGCGCCAGGGGTCGCCCGGCATGCCCCTCGGGGGGTCTGCGGGGCAACATTCGCCGAGGGCTTCTGTCGATGCCGATCGTGGTCCCGGTCCATGTCGGCCATCGCCGATTCGCGAGTATGGTACACGAGTTGACGCTGACCAAGGTCGACAGTGACCAAGATCGACACGACGTTTCCACGTTCGGTCTTGGTCGTGGTACCCGTTTTCTTCGGAGGGAGCGGCTCCCGAAGGGGGAACTTCGAGCCCTGGGGCCATCGCAGATCGATCCGGCCCTCAAAGAGCAGCATGCGGATTGGTGTGGGGCTCCGGTCGTCATGCTTCGGAGTGCTGCGACTTTCTTCGCAGCGCCGGACCTCGGGAGGCGAGGGGGAGGGTGGCGGTATCGGCACTCCCGGAGCGTTCCAGAGCGGTCTGAGACGGTCCCAGAGGGCTCTGGAAGGGAGGCAACGTTAGGTGAGGACCAGCTCAGGGGGGAAGACGTCCAGCCAGAATCGGCAACGCATCGCCGACAGATCGGCGATAGGCCCCCGATGGCGAATCCGTGCGCCACTGGGCGGGAGCGGGGCATCGGGCTAGCATCGGTGATGAAGGGGCGCTCGGGGGCCGATGCGCCCCCCCCGAGCGGATTCCTCCCTATCATTAAATCGGGCCTGTCCCTCTGCAGGAGGGATATTCACAAATAGGCAAAAAAAAGTCTGGGGACTATTGTTTGACTACGTTTGAGCATGTTGGGGGTATTTTGCAAATAGTTCTTTATGTTTCGCCCCAAATCCCCCTGTAGGGGAACAGGCCCGACCTAACCCTAACGTTGCCCCCTACCAGAGCGATGTAGCCCGATCCTGCACCCGACCCAGACACGTAGCATCCTCTGTTAAAAGCACGTGGTGCCCAGAAATCTCGACCCCTTCCACAAGGCCGGCTTTGCATCCCGAGCGGCTTCCCGACAGCCCCAGGACCCGGCGAGGGCTCCCTGAGGCGGAAAACGGCCAAACTTATCCTGGGTGAGGCTTCCAGAACTGGAGGCCTCCGAGATGGGGTCCGAGTAGATGGGGTCGGAGAATCGCGCCGCATCGCCGATACATCGGCGATGCATCGGCGATGCATCGGCGATGCACCGGCGATGCGTCGTCGACGTGGACGATGCATCGGCGACGTCGACGTGAAGTAACTCGGGCTCCACATCGAGCTGCATCGACGATGCATCGGCGATGCGGCGTGATGTTCCGAGCCTGTCTATTCTGACCCCATCTGGGATGGCCTAGAAAACCGCGAGCATGTTTGGGGAATTGCCGATCCCTCCCTGGCCAGGACCTGTGCCCAGCGACGCCTTCCGGCGCGCGCGCGCAGGCGCCGGCGAGGGCCCGGGGGGCTCGGTGGTGCAGCGGCGGAGGCGCCCGCGCTCGAAAAAAGGGAGAGGGCTCGCCGCCCAGCGCCCACCGCCCGGGGGTCTGCGTGGCCCCGGGAGGTGGGAAGGCGAGGGGAGGCGAGGGGGGGGGAGAACGACGATGAGGACGAGGACGAAGACGACGACAACGACGACGACAGAAGACGACGACAGACGGCGATGACGACGACGACGACGCCGACGCCAACGACGAGGGGGACAGTAGTTATAGCTCGATGATGAGCGTGGTGGGTCCCCCCTGACGGGTGTCAAGCTCGCCTCGTCGGCGCACCGCAACAGGGCGTGCGGCGCCTTCTGCTCGAGGTGACTGCCGCGACAAGGGGCGAGCGGGGGGGGGGAACAGATGGGAGGGGAGAGGGGCGTGGATCAGGACAACGGGGAAGGGAGGGCGGGGGTCGAGGAGGATTGCAAGGAGTCAACTCTCCCTGCCCTCCGGTCCTTCCTATTTCTCCCCTCCCCTCCGACGGAGGCCGCGATCAAGGCAACGACGACGACGACGACGACGACGACGACGACGACGAGAACGACGACAAACGAACGACGCATGGACGCAGCAACGACGGCGAAACGGCGCCGCCGCCTACGACGGCGACACCAGCGACCGCGACGGAACCGCCGACGACGACAGCGCCGAGAGTAACCGCGACGGTGACGGCGGTGACGAAGCCAACGAGGGCGGCGACGACGCCGCTGGCGACGGCGGCGACGACGCTGGCGCGACGACGGCAGCTACGGCGACGACGACGACGACGACGACGACGACGACAACGACGACGACGACGACGACAACGACGACGACGGCGACGGCGACGGCCGCGGCGACGGCGACGACGACGGCGACGGCCGCGGCGACGGCGACGACGACGACCGCGACGGCGATGACGGCGACAAAGCCAATACGGCGACGACGACGACGACGACGCTGGCGACGGCGGCGACGACACTGGAGACGACGACAGCGCTGGCGACGGCGACGGCGACGACAACGACTACGGCGACGACGACGACTACCTCGACGACGGCGGCCACGGCGACGGCGACGGCGGCGGCTCGTGAGAGCCCTCGCGTACAGCTCTGTTGGAGCTCCTCGGAGGCCCCCGGGGCAGTCGTGGAGCCCTGCTTGGCTGTGCCCTGTGGGCCGTCGGGGGGCGATCTTTCGGGCGCACGCGGACGTGGACTACGGATCCGTGGATCTGGCGCGCGGGTGCCAGATCCACGCGTCGGGAAAAACACTCCCCGAAGCAGGAAGCCTGTGCCGCCTGGTTTTGCGACAGAGCGCGTCGATGTTGCACGGAATGGAGCGACAAACAACTGCATAAGCAGAATTTCTCGGAGCTCCGCGCTGAGCTCCGAACGTCTATATGTTTCTGGTGTTGTTTGTTTCTCGAGGTATGGCGACGTCCACCGCGCGATTCTTCAAGTCTCAGCGCGCCTCACGTCGTCAGCCAACTCCCGAGTGCTCGACGACCTTGCGCCCGACAGCTACACGGCATGGTTTGACGAGCGGTTCGGAGCACATCGGAAACAATATAATTACAGCGGGTTCGTGTCGCTCAACATTGAACGATCGGTGGCTTTTGAATAGCCAGGTCGTTCCACACTGGCCGACTTGGGGCCCCTGGCAACGTGCAACCCTGACCGCCCGCGGCGGAGTCACAGCCGCGTCGACACGACACGAACCTACCGCAAAGAAGTGAAGACCAGACGGCGCTCTCGGAGTGATCCTGAACGCTCTGAGAACATTCCAGAACGCTATGGAGCGATGAATCCCGATCCTGGATTCAATTCACAAAAGCGCGTCAGCAGAGCAAGAAAAACAAGCATAAACATCAAACAAATCTTTTGGAGGTCCTCGCGGACTTCTTGAATCGGCGCTGGACCCCCTTCCATGGTGCGCGGAGCGCGCTGGGGGCGGCGCTGTAGGCGCCGCCAGGGGGGCCCAGCGCCGATACAAGAAATCCGCGCGGAGCTCCGAAAATCTATGAATATGCCTTTGTTTCTTCTCCCCAGAGAGCTCTGGCGCGTTTTGTTCCGGTCGTGGACCCGATTTACAAAAGCGTTTCGGCAGAATGTCAAAACGACATGAGCATCGTTAAATCGATCCCTGGGCCCCACTGGTCGATTTACCCCCCTAGATGAGAATATAGGCAGATCCCCATGAATGATGGGGTGGTAGGGCTCGGGATGGGGATGGGGATGGGGATAGGAACTGGTCAAAGGATACTGACGACAGCTCGTCCTCGGGCCCGTCCTCGAAACAGTCGGGGCACTCGGGGGCGCGTCGGCGGCAGCTCGCTCGAGGGCCCGTACTCGGGGGCAGCGTCGCTCGCGTCTGGGCTGGGAGAGAGGAGGACGAGGAGGTCGAGGAGCCTAATTAGGAGGGGCAACGCTAGGGAAGTACAGCGGGAATTCTGTGGAGGAGGGGAGGGAAGACGAGGAGGAAGGGGTACCAATACCGCTACCCTTCCCTCGTCGCCACGGCTGGATTCGCCTCGAAATCCTGATCAGAACGCGCCCTGGGAAAGGCCCGGGGAGTACCTTCTGGCTTCCCCAGGGCGGCCGACGCGAACGAGGAGGGGGAGGACGGTGATTCGGTGGAGGAGGAGGGGGAGGGAGGAGATCATGGGCAACGTTGGGGGGGACAGGCTCGGGGAGAGATGCATCGACCCCCAAGCACCCATTGATCGCCCACGGGGGACCCCACCCCGCCCGGGAGCGTGCAGATCCACTCTCGGTGGCCCATCGCCGCTGTATCGGCGATGTATCGCCGATTCCAGGTCGTCCCCTTGAGCCTGTTCCCCCCCACAACGTTGCCCCTGAGAGCAGGAGGAAGAAGAAGGGCGGAGAATGGCACCACTCCTCTTCCTCCAGCTTCCCCCGCCGGGTCAGACTTGAAGGGGGCGATGGTACTAGTGAAAGGGGGTTGGCGAATCAGCTCACATGGCTGATTTTTCTGGCGCCTCCTGCGCCAGAGGCGCCACTGTATCGAGGAAGGCGCCAGGCGGCGGGGCCGAAGCCAGCTGCATGCAGCATTTTTCGTACCCCCCCTTTCCCTAACCCCCCACCCCCGCTTACGTCCGACCCGACACTCCTCTTCCTCCAGCTTCTTTGCGCGAACAGCATCAGCCTCCCTGGCGCCTCAGGCCAGCGTCATCTTCATGTCGTGCCAAGGGTCCTGCCCGTGAACGAAGGCCGATGGGCCCGCGTAGCTGAAGCCAGCCTTTAGGTACAGGCCCTTCAGATTTTCCTTGCAGCACAACATGACTCGGGGGACGTCAACTTGACGTCAACTGGGCGACGACCGAAAACGGGCCTTCGGCGAGATGACGCAGCGACCTGAGGCCGCAGCTTGCGCGGTTCGCCAGCGCGGCACTCTGCACAGGAGACGAGGGCGCTTACGCGGGAGGCCTACTCGCCAATGTCGGCGCAAATGGACCCGTTTTCTGCGTCGCTCACCTGTCCGTCTCGCCGATCCCGCCCGGGCCCAGGATCGACGTGCCTCCCCGGCCCAGCTGGGAGGCACCGTGCTCACTAATCCTGGGCCCAGGATATCTGCGAGGTGACATCGGGTGAGCCGAAGAGGGAGGCCAGGAAGAGAAGAATTACGGTCGGACCAAAGACAGAAAAACATTCTTGAAGGACATGCAACCCTCCGCCAGCCAAAACACACAAAGATCAGCCAAGGGTACCCTCCCCTGGATGCACCAGAGCATCCAACAAGCACGAAGAACAGCAGGGTACTCTTACCGAGCAGACCTCGATCGAATGCCTCGGTCTCGGCCGATCGCAGCACATCATGGCCCGTGGCATGTGCGCGGACGAAGGGGGGCCAGGGAACGTGATGAAGAAGAGGGGGCCGTGACATCGGGGAGATTGCATGGCCCCGGCGATGACATTCCCCACCCTAGTCATCAGTCCCCTATGATGGGCCTGTTTTCCACCACCACGACCACCATTATTTGGAGGGAGGAAGGAGGTGGAGGATAAGGAGGAGGAGAAAGAAGAGGAGGACCTCCTCCCCCTCCTACTTATGGTGGTGGCGGTGGAAAACAAGCCCACCACCGCAGTCGATGCCGAAAAGTTTTCGAGCCAAAACTCGGGCCTACAGAGGCCGATCGGGACGATCCGGGCACCCCCAGAAAGCCCTCGACGAGGCGCAGCTGCTGGAAAGCACCCCGGCGCGAGAAACGCCGCCCTGAACCACCAGAAACCTCCTCCCCGACCCCCCTGGCTCGACGACAACGATATCTTTCCCCTTCGATGAAGGGTGGATATCGTCGTCGAGAGACCACGGGATATGATCGTCGTCAAAGGACCAGGAGGATCCAGCCTTCGACGATGATATCCACCTTCGACGACGATATCGTCGTCGAAGGTGGATATCTTCCCCCTTCGACGGCGATGTCCCCCCCCTTGTCCTCGACCACCCTCTTGGATGATGGGCGAATTTTCCACCACCACTACCATGGGTAGGACGGGGGAGAAGGGAGGATGGGGAAGTTCTCCTCCTCCTCCTCCTCCTCCTCCTCCTCCTCCTCCTCCTCCTCCTCCAGCTACTCCTCCTAATACCGATCGTAGCGGTGGTGGGAAATCGGCCCATCACTGGACGCCCCCCGGGACAGCCACAGCTCGGCCGAGGCCCCCCGAGATGGCCAGCGCCAGCTCCCCCCTCTCCGCGGCTGCGCGCAGGCTCTCCACATACCTCGAGGACGCAATAACACGTGGCACGCGTGCCGTGGCTCTTTGGCGGCGCGCACAGGGGGGCAGGGGGAGGGGGGAAGGCTTCTTCGAAGGAGGCTGCTTCTCAGAAGGCACTGGCCTTCCATCTGCAGGTGAAGCCCGCGTCCTCTAAGAAACAGGGCTATTTCTGAGATGCCTTCTCCCCTCCTCCATGCACCCTCCGCGCGTGGCTGGGTTCTTGCACGTAAAGGAGGGGTAGGGGGAGGATGTAGGAGGAGGTGCTCCGAGAAAGCCTCCAAAATTACTCAAAAAGATCAAGACGGTTGAAGGTGGCCCCCATCATGCCTCCAGGAGGCCCCAAGACGGCCATGAAACGGCCCCAATTGCATTCGGAACACCCTCGGAACCCCCAGAACAAACCAAATCCTTCAAAATCTTATGGCATGGAAAATCAATACACTGTTCCTTCACAATTTCGTTTCCGATTGGCTTGTAAGCCTCTGCGCTCTACGCTAGGTCGGATGCGAGGGGGCGGGCGCTGCTGGTGCTGTGCGTGCCGAAATGATGTGGTCGTGGCGGGGGGGGCGCGCGGGCTGGGGGGTGAAGTAGCTGGGCTGGCTGGGGGTGGTCCACTGGCTAATGGGCGAGGAAGAGCTGAGGCGGCTGCTGGGGGGGGGATGACGAGGGTGCGGCGCCAGAGCCGCGCGTGCCAAAATTAAATGGTCCAGGCGTGGGGGGCGCGCTGGATGGTGGGCGAGAAGGAGCTGGGGCGGCTGCTTGGGGGGGGGGGGCGCGGCGCGGATGCCGCGCGTGCCGACATGAAATGTTCAGGCCTGGGGGGGCGCGCGCGACTGCTGAGAGGGGGGGATGGGGGTGCGGCGCCGGTGCCTTGCGTGACTATATAAAGGGCAAAAGGGGAGCGAAGTGCTGGGCGGGTGTGGGGGACGCGGGCGCGGCGACGGCGCCGTGCGTCACGAAATAAAGCGGTCGGAACGAAGGAGAGCGCGGCGCGCGGGTTTGTGGGCGAGTAGGAACTGGGGCGGCTGCTAGGTGGGAAGGGGGCGCGGCGCGGGTGCCCCGCGTGCCGAAATAAAACGGTCGGGGCGGAGGGGGCACGCTGGTTTCCTGGGCGAAGAGCGAGGAGGATCTGGGGCGGCTACTGGGGAAGTGGGGGAGGGGAGCGCGGCGCTGGTGCCGCGCATGCCTGAACCAGGTAGTCGGGGCGGAATGGCGCGCTGGCTGATGGGCGACGAAGAGTTGGGTTGGCTGCTAAGGGGGAGAGGGCGAAGCCCAGCCGCGCGGGAACTCGGGGGGGAGGAAAGCGCGGCGCTGGTGCCGTGCGTAACAACATCAATTCGTCGGAGCGGGGGGGCGCGGGCGGCTGCTGTGGGGAGGGGGAAAGGAGCGCCGCCGCCGCGCGTGCCACAACAAAACTCGGGGCGGAGGGGGCGCGCTGGCTGGAGGCAGGGAGGAACTGGAGTGGCTGCGAACGAATGAAACATGGGGGCACTGCGCGGGTGCCGTGCGTGCCGAATTCGATTGGTCGAAACACTGCGGGCGTGCTGGGCTGGCTGGTGGGCGAACAGGAGCTGGGGCGGCTGCTTGGGGGGATGAGAAAATGGGTGCGCGGCGCCAGCGCCGTGCGCGCCGCGAGATATTTTGGTCGGGGCGGAAAGGGCGCGCGCGCGGCTGCTGGGGGGAGGAGGACGGGGGCGCGGCGTGGGCGCAGTGCATACCGAAATAAACAGATCGGACGGGGGGGAGGGGGGCGAGCTGGCTAGAGCTGGGGTGGCTGTTGCGCGGGGACTGGCGGGGGCGCGGTGCCAGTGCCGCGCGTGCCGAAATAAAGAAACGGGGCGGACAAGGCGCGCTTGCTCCTGGGCGACGAGGCGCTGGGCTGGGTGGCGCGGAGCCTGTACAATGCGTGCCGGATTGGAACGGTCGGGCGGACGAGGAGGAGCTTGGGCGGCTGCTGGGGGGAGGAACAAACCACGGCGCCGGTGCCGCGCGCGGCGAAATATGAAATGTTTGGGGCGGAAAGGGCGCGCTGGCTGCTTGACGAGGAAGACCTGGGGCGGCTGCTGGGGGGGAGGGGGGGGGGGCGCGGCGCCGGAACCGCGCGTCGCCGAAATAAAGTGGTCTGGACGGGGGGGGGGCGCGCGGATGGGGCCGAGGAATAGTGGGGCGGCTTGGGTGGGGCGGCGAACGCGCGGCGCGGGTGCCGCGCCTGCCTAAATACCATGTTCGGGGCGGGGGGGCGCGCGTGGCTACTGAGAGTGGGATGGGGGTGCGGCGCTGGTGCCTTGCGTGTTATATATATAATATACAAACATATCTATGTATTATATATATAAATATAAATATTATAATAATATACATATATATATATATATATATACACTAGAAACCACGCGCGCGCTTCGCGCGCGCTTAGGTTCTAGTTTGCTCCGAAAACGGTGTTCGCAAGCACGGGTCCGATTCCGTGGCGATTCCGGGGCCCTTTTGGAAGGCCTCTTGGAGCCTTCTTGGGGCGTCTTGACGGCCTCGTGGCCCTTCTGGAGGCCATGTTGGGCCGTATCGGAGCGCTCCGGGGGCCCTCTCGGGGCGACCGGGAAGTCTCTTGGGCCATCTTGGGCGGACTGAGAGGCCCGGGGGCCGCCCGAGGAGCGTCCCAGGAAGCCCTCCTAGGCCCTCTTAGCGCTGTCCTCAGGCGTCCTGGGGCGTCCTTGGGCGCCTCCTGGGGCTGTCTGACAACTCGGACAGCCAAGGGATGAGATATCCTAAAAATGTACGTTTTACGAAGGGAATGGGGCCATTTTGGTTTCCCGGGGCGCTCTTGGGGGGCCTCTTGGAGGCCTCTTGGGGCGGTTTGATGGCCTCTTGTCCCTTCTGGAAGCGATCTTTGGCGGTCTTGAAGCGATCCTGGGCTTCTCTCGGCGCTCTTGGAGCCTTCTTTGGCGGACTGGGAGGCCCGGGGGCCGCCCGAGGAGCGTCCCGGGAGGCCTTCCTGGGCTGTCTTCGGGCTATCCTAGGGCGCCTCGTGGGGCTTTCGGACCGCTCCGACAGCCAAGGGAGCTGATATCCTAAAAATGTACGTTTTACGAAGGGAATGGGGCCATTTTGGTCTCCCGGGGCGCTCTTGGGGGGCCTCTTGGAGGCCTCTTGGGGCGGTGTGATGGCCTCTTGGCCCTTCTGGAAGCGATCTTTTGCGGTCTAGAAGCGATCCTGGGGTTCTCTCGGCGCTCTTGGAGCCTTCTTGGGCGGACTGGGCAGCCCGGGGGCCGCCGGAGGAGCGTCCCGGGAGGGCCTCCTGGGCCGTCTTGGGGCTGTCCTCAGTCGTCCTGGAGCGTCCTTGGGCGCCTCGTGGGGCTTTCGGGCCGCTCCGACAGCTAAGGGAGCTGATATCGTAAACATGTACGTTTTACGAGGGGAATGGGGCTATTTTGGTCTCCCGGGGCGCTCGTGGGGGGCCTCTTGAAGGCCTCTTGGGGCGGTTTGAGCGCGTCTTGACCCTTCTGGAAGCGATCTGTGGCGGTCTTGAAGCGATCCTGGGGTTCTCTCGGCGCT